TGCGGGTGTAACGTCCTCTTAATACAGTTGAAAAAATATTAATACTTTAAGGCCCAATTTTAATGAGTTTGAAGATTGATTAATTTATGTTGAGAAGACTAGGTACGAGTATAATTTTTCGACAATTATTGATTTAAAAATATCTGTCGAATGCTTATTTCTTATTACCTTATTTTACGAATYGCTATTTGTGAAAATTTTAAAGTAAAATTTTAGCATTAGTTAGTTAAAATTGGTCCAGTAAATTCACGTAATGTAGGTGATATACCAACWAATAATAATTTTCATGTTATTGTTTTCGAAAACTAGGTACATTGATACATAAAAAAGTATTCATAATCAGTAATAACGCAAAATATTATGTAAAACTTGTATTAGGCGTACTTAATCTGTATAACTATGGTCTATGAATTGGATATAGTGAGAGAATGAAGCGATAAAAATTCTTTTTTATTTTACAATTAGATTTTTAATTTTTATCGTTGTCAACTATTGTAATCGCCTATAGATATATATGTGCAAAGCGTTTATACTAATAATATAGGTACAACCAGCTATAAAGTAAAAACCTACGATTTTTTATTAGCAATACATCATCAGTGATTAAGTATATTTCATCAATGACATCACTGACTARGCGCTATGCCGTTATTTACAAAATAGTATAGTATAATATAATATAATAATATATAACTTAGTTACACATTATTACATTAACAATATGATATGTAAATATAATTTCAAATATTATACACAATTAGCTGGTATATAGCTGCAAATTTACTATTACTTATATCATTCAAACTAAATCACTTGTAGGTAACAAATAATGTATTAATAATATTAATGTACCTACCATTGTGTACCTGACTATGAGTTTCATTACATCGTGTTCAGTGGCGTAGGTATTTTGGTTGATTTCTCGGGGGGTGTCAACATTTATTGAACCTCAAAAACAAAATTTTTAGTATTATTTACTAATGTAAAAAGATATTGAATTAATTTTTTAACAAATTAATATGTTAGGAATTGACAAGAAGTCTTACATTTGATAAAAATGGTATACTTTAAAATAAGTGACAATATATTAGGACTATTTTTTAAATGTCGGGGGGTGTCAAGACATGGAGGACACCCCC